TCAGACAACATTAAAAAGACTCATTTAAGATTACCTTTTTGAGCAGAAAATTTCCATTTATTCAATATCGGATTCACAAACGTGAATCCATACTTATCGAAATCTTGAGGAGCATGCGTTGTTAAGGGTAACAGTGATGCTCAATGGACAGTAATCCTATCAAACAACACTAGGAAGTCAATCAGTTTAGCAACATCATTATGAGTAGACATATAAAATGTTATCCATAAGAAATTATCAGTCAGCTATTGTGATTTTAAAAGACTGATTATTGGCGAACAAAGAATATGCCTTTCGATAACTTTCTGTTCACTGGGCTCAACAATTATATGTATCAAAGACGAAACAGCTGTATAGTACTCCTAGGTTTTCCAATGGTTCTCTAACTGGTGTCAGCTCATGATGAAATCCTCCATGCAATCAAACAAAATCCCTACAAAACCAATACTTGAAAATTAAAAATAATTATTGTTAACAGCAACCTTAATGGTCAACAGTAGCAACAAATAGACTGTAGTTCAAAAGTATCAGTTAGAAGTAATATTCATTAATACGACACTAAAATGATTATTAGATAAATTACGGAAAGTAGCACAAAATTTATTATTAAATTAAATTTTAAATTTTCATGTCAATTGATTGGTCTCAGGTTGACATGTCGACTACTTGTGCAGCTGCTTTGACGATGTCTGGGCATGCAATTAGAATCAAAGTGTTATTAAACCAGAGTTTGCAAAATCTCAGCTTGTATATAGCAACTTAATTATCATTCCTCAGTATGGGGTCATTTTTTCGTTGTCAAGTTGGCCAATTGGTAAAGATAACGAAACCAGGTGTATAGATTATTGGATTTGATATGTGCGTAAAATTATAAAAGCAGTATGTATTTACATATTGAAACTGATTATCAAATTCGTGTTGATTTTGTCACTTCATGGGGGAAGGGGGTTTTTGTAACCTTGTCAAATTCTGTTTAAGTCCATCATTCCTACTCAGACAATTTGGATTCCATTTGAAATGAAGTACTTCTGATATTAGACGTTCTTTGTGATTTCAGAAACTTTAGTGGATTATCTCAATGTTGTCAAAAACAATTTTGTGACAGGATTCTATAGCGTGTAGACGACCTATAGCTGATGATTTTTGAAGCTTTTCTAGTTGACTAACTGGATTTCTCGGCTTTCAAACAGATGATTGTGAACTCCTGCGTTCATGCGTTTTAACTATATTTGTCAAACTTATATAAGTAGGGACATTTAAGTTTAGCCTAAGTTCGGAAGTATACTCGACATGTTTCATGGTTCATCCAACAGTCATTTTCTAGTAAATAACAAGAATACATGGAATGAGAATATGAATTAACTACAAATGTTTAAATTGTCTAACTTCTGGATGATTTCAAAGCTGCCTGTATTGCCAGTTTCCCATAGATAAGTCCTGTTTGTTTAACTTATCACTAAGCGTCTTTGTGAATTGATGAGTTGACCATATAGAACATAAAAATCGTTAGTACATGTGGCTTATATGCGTTTATTCACCTTCAGCGAACAAGTTGGTAGAAGAAGCAGGTGGACAAGATCGGACTTCAAGTGAACATAGAGAGGATGGAGGTGGTGAAGATAACTAACCATCACCAATAACTATCAGTGGGAGGAATTTGACAGAGGTCACTTCCTTCACTAATCTAGCCAGCCAGCGTCGTTTCAACTACAGTTGGAACGGATGAAGTTGTCAAAGTCAGAACTGGAAAGGCAAGATATGGCTTCATCAACTTAAAACCAGTTTGGAAATATTCTGCACTCAGCGTAAAGTACAAAATTCGGATTTTCAACACTCATATCAGTTAGTTCTTCCAGATGTTTCAAATACTTGGCGCGCAGCGAGTGGCATTTTTAACAGTCTCCAGGCATCCCTTGACAGCTGCTTTTACTCCATACTGAAGATCAGATAGAGGTCAGGAAGAGACACGCAAGAAGAAACTGTGGGATAGAATCAACCAAGAACTTTCAGCCGCATAAATTCGCAGAGGAAAAAGGGATTGGATTATATGCACACCACCGAGTGGTATCACGCTGCAGGTCAGACACTCAAGTGGGATCCGAACAGGAAAAGGCAAATCTGGTATGAAGAAGATCATGTTAGGATAAGATGAGGGCTTATAGACAACTGCGTAGCCAGCTAAAAGGGGCTTGAGGAAACAGGATGAAACGGAGATGTGGTTTCGTAGCCCTATATTTCCCTTTGAAACTCAAGGGGATTATTATTAGGAAAATAAAAGACAACTTAGAGAAGAAAATTTTCTTTATCGATGAAAATATCTTCAGAGGATTTGAAGTCATATAAACACAAAGTGTATAGTTGTCTATTATTGAGTAATAGGGGATGACATAATTACTCATTCACCATAATGTGTATATAACTGTAGAGCCTGAGGATGAAGTTATCGAAAAGAGTATTTTTTGTTCAGTATCCATTTTTTGTAAATATAAAAGTTGTAAATTACGTAGTATTCGAAGTCACAAAGGAAGAAAGGGTTAGAAATTTTATAAGGTTAAAATTTTTATTGAGTGGGAATAAAGGTAGTTGAGTTTCAGTTTAACAAGTGTGAATAGGGCGTGAAAATATACAAAAGGAAAATATAAGAGTGATAATAGTGAATTAATTAATAAAGTAAAGGCAGAATAAAAGTATGATTGAAAATTTGTAAAAAATATTAAATCTTTTACAGGGAACGACCAGTGAAGAGTTTAAGAACATGGTAGCATAAAAGACTGGAAAAACTTTTCTGTACACAGAGTTCGGGGTTGTATTGACGAATTGACAGCGCCTCCGCCATACACAAAAGCTGAAACCTGATGCCTTTTGTACCATTTGGCTTCACCTTGTAGATGATCTTGAAAGACGAATCTTGTGGAGCTGTGTGGCTTGAGTTCACCGATTGCTCGAGAATTGAGTTAGTAACTGTCTTGCATTGTCCTTTTGCTAACCATGCCGCATAATGTTCAGAGATACGTTGGAAAAGTGTGCACTTTGTGAGGCCAATATAACTAGCTCCACACGAGCATCTGAACTCATAAACAAACACTGACGTGGCCCACTGATCATTTGTCGGCCTTAGAAACTGATCCGTAACTCAGATGCAAAGAAGGTTTTCCTCAGTGATCTGCATAAGCGATTCTTCAGGATCTTAGCTGCTGCATCACCTTTAAATTCAACTTTCACAAATAGCAGTTTCTTCGTCAGCGTCTGAGTTCTTTCAGGCTTTTGCTTTACCTTCATGTTTTTCCCGATGAATCTTGGAGGATATCCATTTTTCACGAGGACTTGTTTGAGTCGCTCCAGTTCCCCGTCGATTGTATCACTGGTACATATCCTTCTTATTCTTGAGGATAAGGAGTGGATCATATTTCGAGTGGAGCATAGGGTTCAGACTTCAGCTTAGAAGTTTTAGAAGCAGTGGTTTTACTCGTACTGTCTAGGGTTGCTAGCCTCACACCTAACCTTATTTCTCTGTCGGGATTACAAACGGCTAAGGAAGGTAATGCTGTGCTCCAGCCAGGGATCGAACCCCAGACCACGTGCGTCGTTGGCAATCATTCTGTACCGGATGGAATGATAATGATAACAATAGCTTTTGCAGGCCATTTCTAGATGGTGGGCGTGAGTTTCATGGTTTCAGTTTATTTAAGGTGGAATTATCTGTTGGTCTTTTCACTGAAATAGTTAGTTTGTCTTTATCTACTTATTAATTGGTAGATATTATGAAGATTTTGACTCTCTGATGGCTTTCTGGTTGAGGACATTGACATCCTCAGAACCAATGGTTGGACACAATCAGTAATAGGACTCAAAATTGTTCTCTGTGGCCTCCCATATCCATTAAAACTTAATATTTTTTTCATATTACTCTTTTTTCTCCCTCATATTTCTGCTTATTATTATTTCCTTTGGTTTCGAGTGGAATAAAACTTCGTTTCCGATTAGTGTTCCGCACTACTGTCTGGTCTGATGCGCAATGACATCAAGCCCTTTCCTCAGCGTCTGTACAATCCATCTCCATTTCCTTCAGGATATTTATTGAGAAACAGATAGTCATTTGTTTCATGCACAGAGTTTCTTATTGCTAATTCTTTCTGGCTGTCCATCTTATCTTGAGTATGGCGCGAAGAGGGCAGCTGTTGAAACGTTTCTCGTGACACGCCAAGTTTTTGACCCATATGGAAGAATTGAACGACGTAACATTGGTGACGACAATCCGAATTTTGTTCTTTGGGCTGACTGCAACAGATTTTCAAACTGATTTCAGGGGGATGAAGCTCTCACTTGCTTTTCCACTCCTGGCTGGCTTCGATATCCTTATCCGTACTTACTGACTATAGTTGAAACGACGCTTCCTAGATAAATGAAGGAAATAATTTATTTCGAATTTCTTCTGTTGATGTCGATTGGTGCTTATTGTAGGTGATCAGTGGGTATCTTCTTTGCCTCTCTCTTCTTTGTGTTCATTTAAAGTCCCATCTTCGTTGCCTGGCTCTTCTTGCTACATTTTGGTTTTCATCCACATATCCCGGGACTTGTTTGGCATTAGACATAAATTATCCGCAAAGTTCAGATCATCTAGACTCTCCTTATTGATGCAAAGGATCCCCATTTATTTCAATCCTTCTGAATTGCTTTCCTCTTTCACTTTTTTCTACTTGTGTGTTACGTGGAGTGGGGCAAGTTAAAGCGCTGATGTACTAGTGTGCAAAGTTTTTCTGTTGAAACTCTGTCAGTCAGTTGTTTGACGAAATTCCACAATGAAACGAATTCATTAGTTCATTGTTTCCGACTGTTTGATGGTCACCTTCATTTTCAGAAGCACACAGGAGATATTGTTTCTTGTATCTTTTTTACTAACGATAATATCTGATAGGTATTTGTGCTTATTTTATTGCTCAATCGTCAGATGAATTTGTGGTTTACCTCAGTGCTTCTTTCTTTTGTTTTCTATTTAAAAGTTTTAAGGTTTTACGGATGAATATTTCAAATCCAAATATTTTGAATACAATCAACAATTTATACATAAATGAGCCGGTAAGTTATTTTCGGATTTATTCGTATACTACTACTTATCACTTCAGCTGGAATTAGCTAAATGAAATTTTTTTTTAAAGATCAATATAGCTATGAATGTGTAAAGTGTCTTAGAAGGCTATGCTTTACCGAAATGGTATCCATTGCATCAGCAATACCATGGGTATAACAATCACCTTTTTGAATCAAGCTCGCAAGTACATTTAAAATTACGTCTAGAAGGATGTTGGAAGCATCCTAGTGTTGGAGTTTTCGCCTCAAATGATTGAAAATGTAAAAAAACTCAGTGTTATTAATGTCACATCAAGTATGGTTAGTTCATTGAATTGACTTGGGAAATCAATCAAAACAGATTAAATGCTCGATTACAATAGCAGGAACCCAATAAATGGCATACAGAAATTGTTGCATACAAACATTATTCAGGAGAGCCAGAACTCATTGCAGAACTTCTACTTTAAGTAAAATTTAAAAAATATCTCATAAACATCTTCCGAAGGAATGGATACCCACGAGACATCTATCCTGAAGTCAACCTACCAAATAAAAGGCCTCCAAGGAAAACAGAAAGAAAGTCGCCTTAACATATATAAAGAAAATCACAGAAATCATTGCATGACTCTTTAAACATGTAGGAATTGATGTCGCACACATACCAACAAAATCACTTCACTCGACTGGAAACGGTGAAAGAAGATGAAATCAACACCATCTGCAAAATAAATTGCAGCGACTGAGAAAAAAATACATTGGTCAAAGTGGATGCCCCCTTCGTCTTCTCATCCATGTACACGAACTATCCGTCAAAGGAAATCACCTCCAATCCCTCATATCACTGCATACAGAAAACTATGGACATCAATTCGACTTGAACATATTAGGAAGCGGAAACACCGAGAAAGCTAAAGAATTTTTGGAAGCCTGATATCCCAGTGAGTCAGCAATTATCAGGCACATTAACCAGGATAAAATTTATCAATCCATAAGAAGACGAGCATATGCAAAAAGTCAAACTCCAGGTCAAGAAAACAATCAATAGAAGTAGACTGGTGGGCGAGAAAGCAGAAAAAGACAACCAGTCACGATGAAGGACACCAGGAGAGGTGACTGATAGACTCCTTGAGAAATTTAAATGCTCACTTCGAATTGAAGTATACGCTGAATATGTTGTCTAGTAATGCAATTAATGCTTCCCAAGTAAACCATCCAGCTAAGAGAACACAACCAGGTCAAAGTCATCCACCTGACCTAAAAATCTTCCTTATTATATCTAAACTGACTCAGCCTTCTTTGGTAGACTGAAACTGTCACATAAGAATGTTAGCTAACAATGAGAAGGTATCCAGTCTATATCTCCGGAATCAAACTTCCGTGGGTCACACACGTTCTAGAATTATATTCCAGCAATGTCAAAAGACTTTGTGCTCGACAGAATCTGTGATGCTATTCAACAACAACCACAATAATATCAAAAACACAAACTACCTCAACAGTGCCATCCGGAGGCTATACATTCCAAAAGTTTCTCACATACAAAGCACATATAGCTTAACAAAATTAATGAAGCAAATACAGTTATTCTGAACACTTGACGAAAGGTACAGGAGGAGAATGTCGTTGTGTGAGACATTTCGATACCGATAGTAGAAGATCATTTTAACATCATTTAATGGAAATGAACTCCTTGTTTATACAGTTTAAGGTGATAAGTCCCCTCAGACACCTTCAGAAACAAAAAATATTCACATCACAATATTTCAACAGTCTGATATCGTAAATAGCAGTCAAGAAATTCAGTATAAATACTGATGTTATATAACATTGGCTGACACAAATAATTGGAAGGCATTCACAGTCATCGTTAGTCGATTCATAGCCAGATTGGGTTGATCTAGGGGAACTGTGGTGGCTTCTTACCTTGAACAGCGCGATTTACTAGTGATGAATATGATTCTATCTACTGCTGTTTCGATCAAGCAGCTAGCTAGCATTCGTTTCATTTGAACTGATTCGAATTCATGTACACTGCTGAAGAGGTCGGTCTCAAACGTTCTGAATGACTGTTGAAGGTTAAAATCAATCAAATCAATCACTCGTCTTGTTGCATTCATCTTTGAATCACTGACTAATATTAACAACTATGCTTTGATTAGAAACAGGTTATTAACCAGTGTAATGTGTCCAGTACTTTGCTTGGTGTAGACTGAATTTTACCAGTCAGGTTTGTTATGTGGCCACCATTTCAGACGGCTTGTTATCACGGCGCACTGTGAATTGTTGGCTGATAGAATTAAGTCTACAACAAAGCATTAGACACATTACATTGGTCATTAGCTAGTGTCCAACAGTAGGTCAATCGCGGGCCTCAATGGTAACGTCTCTGACTGCAGCACTCACTGAGTTCGAATCTCACATACGCCTTGCTGACTGATGAGTGCCAACTAGCACGAAACCTAGGTTGAAGGTTTCCTGTGGCAGACTGCCTTCAACCATATAATATTAATGACTATGTTTGTGACAATTCATCGCCTTTATCACTATCCACTTTCATGATAAAGAGGAAAATGAAGCCACCGCCGAAAACAGCGTCATTGCCGAACTACGTGTTCTGTATTTATCAATGTCTGGATGCGGATTATTCATGAATATTTTTGGTTTACTCACGTATGAATTACAGTTGATATATTGGAGAATATAATTTAAATTTCAAAACCCCTTTGGCTTTTTAATTTCTTCTACAGGAAAATTATGATATTTGGAGCTTTCCAAGAGGTGGAAATAATTCAATGTACATATCAGTATCACCGAATGGATTCAGTAATTTGACAAGAATTTTGAACAATGCTCAGATTTCATACGAAACAGTAATAAGCAATCTTCAAAAGTAAGTCAGCATTACCGATGAATTACAGAAAGGTTGGAAGGGTTTTAGTCGGTTGTAAATTTATGCTTTTTTCAATATTTATAAAGAAAATTCCATTTAAACATTTAGAAGACACAATGAATGAACGAAGAAATATTTACTTTTCAATTCATAATTGATAATTCTACCGTCTCTTCATGAGAACATGATTACGGTTTATCTCGTTGAATTTCCGAACATCATCCTGCACAGTGGTTAAGTAAAGGATAAAAGAAATCCACTCACAAAGCGCTATTTTATCCCATCGTATGGATATAGAACACAAGATTGATGCCAATGAGGCGATTTTCAAAATCATCTTCCTCATACCAACTAATCTAAACTTTACCTTAAGAGTTCGTCTACTGCATATTGCTGAGGCTAGCAGTTGGAACGAACATTAAGAAACCTAACTTACGTATTCAAAAGAAGTTAGTTAGTTCAGACACTGTCCTTACCCTGGCCGTCAATAAGGGTTCTAAAGGTCCTCAATTTGCTGTCGAAATTTCCTTGATTTTATTTCAGACAATTAATTCCCTTTATGAATTTAGACAAATTAATAAGAAGACGCAATTTGTCTGAATCGTGTAATGTGTATTTGAGCAGCACATTTCGAACAATCTGATCACACACGGAATTGTCACAGGAATGTATATATATGAAATTGGTAAAGAGTTAAGAAGTGAGAAAATAGACTTAGTTCAAGTTAAAAGGACATATTCAAGGTCAAAATAACAACGAAGACCACTAAACCAAATAAGAGAGGTAATAGTACATCTGCTATGGTATCGATCAAAAGAAAGTTTACTAAGAAAGGTTTAGTGTGATGACGAATTGTTGCTTTGAGTGCATAAAGGTGGTTTAAACTTTCAATCTGCTAGCTAGTGCTGCAACAAACTTTAGGATACGCCCAAACACGTTTTGTAGATAGGTTTAAAAGATGTGTGAACGTCAATTTTATGTCCTGTCTCTATAATATGTTTCGTAATAGAAGAGCTAGGTTTCCTGTTCTCACCGTTAATAGGTTCTGAAGATTCTATTTGCTTCTGGAGGCATTTAGGAATATGCTGTGAAGCCAGGCCTTACTTGTAGAGATCGATGTGTCCTTCCTCCTATATCTGTGAGTTCAGACGTACGTTCAAATTGGTAAATACAGTGAGATGTGACATCATTTTCCGCATGTTCAAAGGGCTTAGATGGATGGACATATTGACTTCACATTCTCAATTATTATGATATTAGCCGTCAGTGGTATAGCGGATAGGACGCTCGCCAACCATGCACATGGTCCGGGGTTCACTCCCCGGCTGATGCACTCCTTTACCTCGCTAAGCCAGAAATAATTCTGGTGATGAGGAAAGGTTGGGCATGAGGCTAGCAACCCCATCCTGGAAAATAAACACTGCTACAGAAACTTCAAGACACACTAGCTTGAAGCCCTATGTCCCACTGGGGAACGTGAAGGAAATTATAAAAAAAAATAACATTTTTATGCTTCTTATTATAATTTATGCATGTTTTGTGAACTGTAATTCCACTTTGATCTTACTTAACAAATCGATATTATTTAAAAAGAACACCAGTATTGTTAATGACGACCGTTCTAGAATATTCTATGTATATAAGCACACATGTATAATTGTAGAGCCAGAAGAGGAAATTATCGAAAAGGATATTCTCTGGTCAATTTTTTTGTTCTTCCTAGATATCTGAATGAATAATGTCGACACATTTTTATCATTATAACTTTGATTAGTTATGCATGTTAAAACCAGGGAATTTTTCGGAAAATAAAGAGGATATTTGACTGTTTACTTATTGTCTGACTGTAGTTATTTCCTAGTTTCAAAGTATTCCTGGAAATTTTTATCGTTTTGAAATGTCTTTAGCTTTGGTTAAAATTTTTATTCAGAGAGATTTCAGTTTAGCATGCTTAGAAAGCAACATCTCCAGTGACAGTGGACATTATCTTTTGTTTACTTAAATTTACAGGGCAATACTGGATGAGAGACGTGAAAACCACGCAAGAAGACTGTCCGGTTTCATGAGAACTGGACGACAAAGACCATATTATAAAACATATGATGAAGTAAGTAACATCTCCTACACAGAGGAGTGTGTACAGTATTTCAAGATGTAGTTCTTTTGAACTTTATTTTATTTCTGATTTTCACTTGTCTACCTTCTAGATGCGTCAGTGGCACAGCGGTTGACTGCTCGCCAACCACGCATGTATTTTGGGGTTCGAACCCCGGCCGACAAGGCATTCCTTTATCTCTCTAAGCCGGTAATAAGACTAGTATATAGGGAAGGTTGGGTATGAGGCTAGCGACCTCATCCCATAACAGTAAACGCCACTGCTACCGAAACTTCAAGTCTGTAGTTTGGAGCCCTATGTTCCACTAGGAGTGTAAATGAATAAAGTAAAAATGAAAAAATCCTACCTTCTAAATGATGCAGGGAATTTTAGACGAGCGGTTCTTGTCTAGTGACAAATCAGAGTTTTATTTCTGCCCATTAAACCACTCTTGAATACTTATTACCTTAAAAACCTAAGGCAAGTTTACTGCAAGTGGATCTTTCAAGTCTCCGTCTACTTATCATAATGAATTTTAAAAGTGTTCAACTGTCTTTGATGCGTTCCATTTTCTCCCACTTTTCGATTTTGTTACTTCTATCAGCAAGCGATTCGTTTACCCGATTAAGGCCTAAATCCTGAATACTTTTATAGAATCAATGGAAACCCAACAAAGGACAAAAATGGACTCATCCAAATAAGAAGTTCAGCAAAGATGGCGATCTTTTCGGCGATTTCATTTTCAAAAGCTGTACAATCGCATTCAAATACATAATTTTACATGGAGACAATTCTTGCTTGATTCTACGTAATTATGATGGCGAATAAAAGGTGATAATTATTTCCAACTAGATATGGTTATACGAGAGGCTTAGAAACAAAAAATTACGCAGGATTAGAACGGATATCAAGTGTGTAAAAATGAGCATGGATACAAAATTGAAATAATAATTTTCAACTTGAGATGGGAGTTAGGAGGTGTGAATATAGATTACAAGAGCCTTAGAAACAAAATTACATGGGATTTAGCAAATTACAGGTGTGCAGAAAGTGAGCATGGAAACAAAATTGATATAATAGTTTTAACTTATAATGGAAGTTAGGAGGTGTGAATATAGATTACAAGAGCCTTAGAAACACAAAAAATTGCACAGGATTAAGATATAATTGTAAATTTTTTTTAAACGAATTATAAATGTGAACAGAAAAAGCATAGAAACAAACTTAAAATAACTGTTTTTTTATAACTGGAAAAAAATGGGGTGAATCGAATGAAGACTGAGGGAGTAAGAATCACACACATAGCGAACGAAAAAAGATCAAAAAACAAAAAAAAACGGAAGCTACGGTAACATACCGAACTAAGTCCATAGTAGTTGTAGAGGTTGGACTAATTTCTTTTGGACACACAGCTCCGGCTTCTCGATGCATATTGCGAGGGCTTCTGCAGTACAGAGAAGTCGGAAACAAACTGCTTTCGGTAGGTTTCTGTTGACTTTGTAAATTACTTTGAATGAATCAGTTGAGATGTTGTGGGAGGTATTGATCAGATGCTCAATAATTGCACTTCTGATTGAACCGGTGCCTCCTCTTTGCAGCCACGCCGGGTAGTGTTTCCATGCTCACTTTCTGCACACCTGTAATTTGCTAAATCTCATGTAATTTTGTTTCTAAGGCTCTTGTAATCTACATTCACACCTCCTAACTCCCATCTCAAGTTGAGAATTATTATTTCAATTTTGTATCCATGCTCATTTTTACACACTTGATATCCGTTTTAATCCTGCGCAATTTTGTTTCTAAGCCTCTCGTAAAAACCATATATATATTTGGAAATAATTATCACCTTTTATTCGCCATCATAATTATGTAGAATCAAGCAAGAATTGTCTCCATGTAAAATTATGTATTTAAATGCGATTGTACAGCTTTTGAAAATGAAATCGCCGAAAAGATCGCCATCTTTGCTGAACTTCTTCTTCTTCTTCTCAATCTAATGTTCCAATGGATATTTTACACGATCATCCAAATAAACCATGCAGTCTGAAAATGACACTGCATAACTAATCAATAGCTGAATACAACATTACTCAGAGCTGGATTCCTTACCATCGATCAATGGATTTGTATTATTCAGTCTGTCTTTAATTAAGCCAGGTGCTATCTCAGTCTCTTGCTGATAATAAGTCCCGAAGGAAAAACGAGAATGTGGTTGCAAATATATCTTGTTGATGAGTGTCATAGAAAACGAAACTTAATTCTGTCAGGCCCTCGCTGGCAGTCGGCTTCTCTTAACGAGTAGTATTTGAAAATAGTTGGACAATTCTAGCTGGGAACTGACAACTTGACAAATATGTCTGTTAGTCCAACTCACTGTATGGAAGTTACTTTCCGGATAGAAAGGTCAGTGTGACTTGAAGTCATGAGATGATCGACATTCTTCAATGGTTCTTCTGTTTACGTTGAACTGCCATTGTATGTCAAGGATGGAGGGAACACATTTTTCCGATAAACACTGCTCGTAGGGGGGGGGGGGAAACCGTTCAGCAAATGTAATACACATCGATGAAACCTCTGCATCACGCTAATTAACTTCACATCCCAGGATAGCACTCTACGCCAAACCTCAGTATTACTGACTACATTATATCAACTAGCACTAGAGACAGGACGCAGACACTTATGATCAAAGGTAAATAGTCTGTTCATATCCTCCACTTTTGTAAGCTGTTTTTCACAGTGGATAAGTAGGGACGGAGTGAACTGTTGCATAGTGCGTACATCTTATTGATCAGTAGTCAGATATGACATCTACACTAAGGATGACATGAGTTCTCAGATATCCCATGCACTCTTTGTGTAGATGCTGAGATTTTATCTACAATCAGCTACTGCAATGTGTGTTTATAAATTCATATGCTCGTGAGGAGGTAGTTATACTGGCCACACAAAGCTCACACCTTCCAAACGCATCTCTGAACATTATCCGGTATGGCTTACAAAAGGACGATGCAAGACAGTTACTAGTTTAATTCTCGTGCACTTGGTGAACTCAGGCCACGTAGCCCCACCAGAGTCGCCTTACAAAATCATCTACAAGGTGAAACCAAATAGACCAAAGGGTGTTAGGTTTCGGCTTTTGTGTATGGCGGAGGCGTTGACAATTCGTCAATACAACTCCGAACTCTGTACACAAACTAACTTTGTCCAGTCTCTTGTTCTACCATGTTCTTAACCTCTTCACTGGTTGTTCCCTGTAGAGAAAAATTTTATTAATTTTAACTTTTATTAATTTCCATTTCTTATTAATTTTTATTAATTTTCACTTTCACCTTTCAGTTTACTTTAATAATTAACTCACTATTGTCAGTCTCATACGTCCCTTTGGTACATTTTCACACTTGTTAAATTGACACTCAACTATCTTTAAACTGATCAAATTTCTAACCCTTTCTTCCTTCGTGTCGTTGAGTACTACGTAATTTACAACTTGTATTCTCACTTCTCAAGCCACTTCTGAGTAATTATAACCTACTGTGTCTTTCCCGTACTCATTGCTGGACTTGGGGCCGATAGCTGCTACCTTGACGTGGTGGTCGGGCTTGCATATCGCAATGATCCAACGAGCTACACTGGCTGGAACTTATGTTCCTGTAGGTCCTACCATGACAGAAAGGTTGTTTGGATAGCGGTTAGACAAAAAGCAGCTACCCAATCCAATACTATGATTCAAACAAATTCACAAAATATCATGCCGGATCGGTTGGGGCCCAGATTAACAACGACCGCGCTTCCTGCTGCCGTGTCACAGGGCCGAAGTGATAAATATGCTACTGAGACACACCAAATGAAAAATAACAAACAAAAACAGGTCGCATGTGACCGGCCTCAAGCAGTTGTCCCCTGGGCTCTGCGGTCACGCAACAGTAACTTTTCCTCTATTTCAGGTACCCGAAGACTCAACCAACTTTCACGGTGTGGGCAGCCGGGAAGTAACAACCGCCAACACATTTCCAAAAGCCCAGGACTGTGTCTTTCCCACCCCGGCCTTCCGGATTATTACACATTATATTTTTAATTTGAACTTGACCTGAAATATTTCTAGAATAGTACCACTACCTATTTCTGCTTATAACACTTAGTAATTTTATTAATTTGACCTTTCATTGGAGTTAATTCTGGGACTTTCGCACACAATTAAATAAATCCACGAATATATAATATAAATCCACAGCCTAGTTGATGACTTCGTCGAAAAGAAAATTTTCTTCGATGAAGTGTCATTGTTACTTCTAAATTGAGAAGACAAGTCGTCAAATAGGTTTCATCTTCTCGAAACTTCAATTCAAAGCCGTGAGGTTAACTGATGGTTTAAATATACAATGTTAACTGACGACAGAGATCAAAGGTTATTTTCAGTTAATAATAAAACAAGTCAAAGTGTAAAGGAAATAGCAATGAGTGAAAAATGGTGAACAGTCTTACGTAATCAAGAGGGTTGACACTTAATCAGTTAAATGGTGAGTAATCATTTCAACAGAAAACAAGACAACAAAAGACTGAGAATAAGTTTCAGAACAAGTAATAAATCAGAAGACTACACTGAGAATATTAAGCAACATGTCAGGGAAGAAATATTGACACACGAAGGTCACGATAGCCAAAGAGGCTTCGGAATCCTTCGAAGTGAGGACAGGAGTAAGACAAGCTGGCTGCCTACTATCGCCAATGATTTTCCTGATTGCAGTAGATTGGATAATGTAACAAACGGTGGGCAATGAGGAAACAGGCATAAAATGGACTCACACAAAAAGAGACTTGGAGGATCTGGACTTCGCCAATGATATATGTCTGATTTCCCACAAACTGGAAGATATGCAAGCGAAAAGCAACAAGTTGGCAGAAGAGGCATCCAGAGAAAATGAGACTTACTTCAGGTGAACATAGAGAAAACAGAGGTGATGAAGATTCCTGGGCAACACCACCAACAGCAACAACAACAACAACAGACAAAAATCAGCATAAATGGGAGGAACCTGAAAGAAACAACCTACTTTACCTACCAAACTGGGAAGCATCGTTTCAACTACAGGCGGACCGAACTGACAAGGATATCAAAGCAAGAATCGGAAAAGCAAGGCAAGCTTTCACTACTCTCAAGTATGTGTGGAGGTCAACACTCAGCACTCAGCATCAAAAATAAGATCCGAATTTTCAACTCCAATGTGAAGTCAGTGCTACTATACGGATGGATCAGAGACTTGCACTGCGCGTCATAAAGAGCATCTCAAACAAACTACAGACCTTCATTAACAGTTGTCTTCGCTCAACACTCAAGATCAGATGACCAGAAGAGATCAGCAACAGAGATATCTGGGAGCGAGCCAAATCAGCAGGAACTGATTGTGAAACAAATAGGCAGGAAGAAATGGAGATGGATTGGCTGGCCATACTCTGAGGAAACAAACCATCAAGTGACATCACTAGACAAACCATTGCTCGAGTGGAACCCGAAAGGGAAGCGGCGGCGAGTTGGTCGTCAGTGCAAGGGTGACTTGGAGGAGGTCATGTGAAGAGGAGATGAAAACGTGTGGGCAGACTTGGAGCCAGGTGAAGACTCTAGCAGAGAACCGAACGGAATGGAGATGCACGGCTGAAGCCCTATGTTCCTCTAGGAATTAAAGGAAATACTAATAATAATAAAATGTTTCTAGACACAAAGTTCAGATTTGTTTTCCCTCTGAATTGCTAAAGCTTCTCCTACATGAAGAAGTCTTTGCTGACGCTGTCTAACCACAAGTAATAACGTGGTCAAGAGTTGAACTACTGAATGCTGTACGTTTTGATAACCATAAGCCTCTGGACGGCGGTGTCTTGATGATACTTAACTCCATGAGAGCAGGTTTCATTCAATGAATACTTATGGAAGTTAACAACGTTGGAATATTGTCTTTTATGTCCTCAAATCAGTGAGATGTTTGAACCAGGCAATGTTAAAACTTCAAATGGCTTAAAATCTTGTTAGACTAGAACGGTTATTTGCTTGAAACCTCATCTATTTATTAATATTGTAGCATCATATCGTATGTCACATAAATTTGGAATTTAACCATATTCTGCCTCACTAAATTCTACAGTTTTTCATCTGAGTTACTCAAATAAAGGTAACATAGTTTGCATGAGTGAATTAATAAACTAAATGATCCACTTTTTTGTGTTTTATGCCTCAGCCATAAATGTTTCAGATTACTCTTAGTCATGTAACTTTTTTTAATATGGACTTCTCTATGTTTGTAGATTATCCAATATTTAGATACTTTGGAACAACTGAATTCATATACAACCGTAGAGACTATAGGTGTCACTTCTGAAGGCAGACAAATTAAAGGTGTTATGGTAAGTAACAAAAAAATGGTGAAATATGACACTTTTTTTGTTGTTGTGATTTTTGTGATCGTAAAATATTTGGCTCATGAGAATATGAAATGCCTAAGTGGTATTTGAAACCTTTACCTTTATTCATGTTTAAAAATTATGTGTTTAATGAGTTCAGCTCTGTTGATTAATTGGGTTTATTGTCATTCTTTATTAAGCTTGGAAAACCAACCAGTTTGAAAAAGTCAGGTAGAGAAACACTGAAAACCTCAAGAGATTACTGGACAGCTGTTTCGTCCTAGTCTGGATTCTCCATCAGTACGCAACCACTACCGAGACTTTCGGTCACAAGGCAAGCAAGTAGATTATTTAGTTGGTTGGTGGTCACTCTAAAAAATTCACCAATTTTAAAAGTTGGTTTTTATAGGCCATTACGTTGGGTCCCAGTGGCTGATTGGCTCACGTGTTTACCTTGTAACTGGAATGTCCTGGGTTCGAACCCCGGAGTTTTCGTGCTATTGAAGAATACCAAACCAGAATGAAACAACTGTCCAGCTTTTCTTTATGGTTCTCTAATTGGTATCAGTCGGTGATGAAATTTGAAAAAAATCAAATGCCTACAAACTCATCCAAGTAAATGTGTTAATTATGTAATTTTTTCTTACGATTACTGGGAATTAAATTGATTGATGGTGAGTAAAGTTGATACGAGAATCTAAGTGACAGGAAGATTTGTACCAGTTGCCTACAGATTATTAGACTACAGCTCTATCGGCTTATTTGTTAAACATGATGTAGGATGGCCTGAATATTTCAATCTACTCTGAGACAAAATAAAGAGATGCGAAGATTTCATTTCGAAATATAATATTATCACGTATTTAGGGCTTAGACAGTATTATGCCGTTCTCTGATTGATTTCACCCAGCTTTCACTTTCACATGACGTATCATGGAGACTGGAGTCTGCATACTACGTCAAGTAATTATGATTTTCTGATTGTTTTATTGACTGTTTATCTTATTTTATAGATTTCTTTAGACTCATCGAAACCGATAATCTGGATAGATGCTGGAATTCATGCTAGAGAATGGATCGCCCCAGCCACAGCTCTTAGTATAATCAGCAAGGTAATTCATTTAATTATGCTGTGATAAACATTGGTTAATTTTAGCATTATTGTTAGTTACTGAAGTTCTACTTGTTTATTGGGTTCTAAGTGAAACATAGGGCTTTAATGGGACTTCTTTGCTAAACTCAGGTTTCTCTCATCACTTTTATTTAACACTAAGACCACCTACAAGCCTTTATTACCACCTAAAAATTATCTCCGTGTTACTCTCGAATGTTATATTCATCTCTTCCCGTTAAAGTTCCAATCGAGGGTCTCGTGTTTGATATCACTTTCATGTCACTTTAGCGTATACTCAATCCATCTCAGTTTAGCCAGCTGGTTGTTGGTTGGTTTACTTGCTGACTGTCAGACAAACTTATCATCCTTATGTTTTGTTCCACTATGACATATTGATAACAACAATCCTCACTCTTTGGAGGACTGACTCATGATGATAAACAGAATGTACGATAACTGGTTTTAGGTTGTATCCAGATCATGAGAACCTAAGAAATAAAGTTGATCCACATTATTCTGTACCGGTATTTGTTCTATCAGTCAGTCAGTTTGTCTATCTATCTATCGATTATAGGAGCAAAATTTCTCGGAAAAAATGGACAATTTTATTGTTAGAGTAGTGACAAGTCTGTGATAATTACGTAATCAGTGATTCGAATTCATAAGATTGGGAAATCAAAACTGGGTCTGTATGAATTCAAATGGACCTGATGATGTTGGTGGTGAAGGGGAGTTAAATTCAAGGAATAAAAACAGTAAGCCCCATATGAAACTCTGGAGGAAAACATTGGTGGTGTTGGGAGGCTGAAACACAGTGATGAAATTAGGAGACAAAGAGTTACTGACCAAAAGGGGTCATCGGGGTAACTGAAGTCCCACGATGGATTCCTTTAATACACAGAGATTAGATTTAAGTAGTTTTGTTGCACTAAATTCAGCAAACCGAAGGAGACTTAGGTTGTTCTTCCTGTTAATTATTTTAAGGGGATTTTAGTGTAGTTATGTGTTCTGTGAAATAGGCGAAGCTTTAGTTAGCCAGCTGGATAACATATTTGGGAGTGGCTTCAGTGTGATGTCAGCTTTGTGAATTTCTGAGTTAGTTTCTAAGGGTTTGATAACGGAATGATGTCAGCTGAAGAACCATTGAAAACCAGTGAGCGCTGGACACTTGTTTCGTCCCAATTGAGGATTTTTCATCGGCACGCATCTGCTGAATTTCGAACACAGAACTTTCCATTTACAAGGTAAGTTCGTAGACCATTCAGCTACTTGGACATGATCCAACGGCTTATGAAATCTAACTTCTACAGCTGTCAAGTACTCCGTGGTTTCCAGTGGTTCTCCAACTGTTATCAGTAAGTGGTTAAAGTTGAATTAATACTCATCTGTCTTGGTGACTTACTGAAGCTGGTTCTTCTTATAAACTGGCTTATGAGTGTATCTACTTAAAGTGTTTCTGAACTGGTATCTAACCTTCAAGTCATTCTAACATACCAATGCTGGTAAAAAAAAAAGCTTCAACAAAGTCTGAAGTGAGGTTGCATTGTAAGACAGAGTAACTTGATAAAGTTCTGAAATTACACCATTATTGGCGTAACACAGAAGATTTGATTTATCTGTAGAGTATTTAGTCATTCCGTTATTCCTAAGGGAGACAGAGAATTTGAATCCAAGAAATGCGAACCGTGGTCCACTTGTCATAAAAATAATACTGATTTGTAATACATACCAGTAATATGTGGAGGAATTGATGAACATGTTCTTTTACATACTATTTTAGCTGATGCGACCATCAGGACAAATACTTCTGAAGAGATTTCAATTCTACATTGTTCCAGTAATAAATCCAGACGGTTATGAGTATACACGGACAAAGGTAGGTTACATAAATTAACTTCTTTTTCCCCTACTTAATAACTGTCGTAGAGTTTTATGAATTCTAAAATTTGTGGAGGAAAGTAACCACCATTGATTTATCACTTGTGTCCCTGACGTGAAGTGAAGTACTACTTACATAAGAATGAGGCATTTTTGAGAAGTGACAGCTGAATACATTCATTAAACATTTGGCATTTTATGCAAAATGATATTGAGGCTTAATTAAAGCTCCTTTTGTACCGTGGCACAGAGATAGAATTCTCGCCGACTACGGATTTCGTCCCGGGTTCGATCCCCGCCCGACTCACTTCTTTACCTCGCTGAGGTAGTAATAATACTGGTGAAGAGGGGAGGTTGGGCGTGAGGCTAGCAACTCCATCCCATAAAAGAACACCACTGTTACCGAAACTCCAAGCTCCTACTTTAAAGCCCTATATTCCACTGGGAGCGTAAAGGAATAAAAAAATTAAAAAAGTTAGACCAGATTAACAGGATTTTCTTAAAGGAACTTTGTTTTTGACGCAGATCGCTATTTCATACTTGTTTCTAAATTAAGCTAGCTGTTATTATTGTGATAGTAGAAGCTCTAGATAGTTTCCTCATAGTACCATGCAAGGATCCCCATTTATTTTGTATAGGCCGGTGACACTACTTAAATAAGAACAACACATTTAAGCGAACAGTAGCGTGCTTTCAATTAGATCTCATCAGGCTTAACTCCAGTATACATAACTTTACAAATAAAAATGCCAATATAATCCAATCCTCGTGTTTTGCCCATAGGATAATAAGATTGTGCATATAAATTGTGCAGTCAGTCATAATACTAGTAATGATAATAATAATGGTTCTATCAATAATAGGGATGTAAAAGTGAGGCAACCTGTGATAACAAGAATACCGAGAAACAGCATGATTAAACAGACAAATGTGTTCAGGTAAAAGTAGTGGTCGATAAAGGCTAGTGAAAACAAATGAACCGATTAAGTAATGCTAGATTTTAAGGGAAGCAAATGAAATATGTTTTAATGAGGATGTGGTAAGAATAGGGGATGATAAGAGAGGGGTTGAAAATATAAGTAAGGGGTGATGGAAATGTCATCAGATGGTTTTGCCTTAATATGCCAATGGAGGGATAATGGCTGTACGAACTTCTTTTGAATGCATAGTTTAGGTTTAATAGTACGATTGTCTATTACCTAAGCTGTGTGTAGTAGACGAATACGAAGTTTTCTGGAAAGATTCCGTGGGACACGATGAATTACGTTGAAAGCTCTTTTTCTCCGCTATATGACCCCTGTCAACTAAATGTGACAAAATGGAGCTACGGGTTGTTTTTGTCTGTCCCTTACCAAACCACCATGATAGGAGGTGTTCAGTAGTGACACCTTGACTAAGCTGTCTGCTAATACGCCCAACATAACTGTCACCGCAGATGCAGTCGAATTGATGAATTCACATAGATGTGACAAAACTATCTAGCTTATCCTTCGTTTGAGTCCAAATCATTCGTTGGATAGAGAATGATAAACACAGGTTCGCTGCGTAAAACGTTCTTCGTATACTCTTGGAAAGTCTCTCGAATAAAATCTCACCTGATAAATCACCATTACATTGAAACTTAATAAACAGGTGTTTAACATGCAGTAATTGTCCTAGGTTCTCTCTCTAATGTGTTCATGTTTCTTTATGAAACTACTCGGATAGTTCATCTCCGTCAAGGAATCATGAATATATTCAAATTCCTTATGTAAGTGATCATCCGTACATATCTTTCTTGGTCTGCTCGTAAGACATTTAACAACATTTCTTTTATATTTTTGGGGCACGTAACTAAGGAAGTGTGTGTATTGCCCTGTGAATGTGCTTAATTGCTTAAGCTATAGTGTACAGAGGGAGACTCAGGATACATTGACTCAAAAAATAGATTCATGATTGGATTATTGCTTAGACTATTTATTCAAGGTATTTGTTGGTGTCTATTTAACATTATATGGTATAGTATATTTGAAAGTTAGGCAACAGAAACGTAATTTTGTAAATATTTAGTTGCTGGAATTGTATCTGTTGTCCATATTGTAAACTTCTAGCTATCTCTGAGTCCGTGGCACAGCGGTTAGGACGCTCGCCGACCATGCACATGGTCCGGGGTTCGATTCCCGGCCGACGCATTCCCGATATCAATGATCGGCCTGCGAAATTTGGGCTACCGATATTACATGCTGAAAATTTCATACTTGTATCAAAAATACTGTGTGAAGTCAAGCTATAATAAAATTTAAAAAAATAAAAATAAAAGTAAAATAATTGGAACCATTATCGAATGTCGCTATCGGATGATTATCATTCTACTTGACTTCATTGATCCTAAATGAAAACGATCAGTTTTAAGTGTTAGATTTTTGTCACAAACCAACATAATTTAGAAAAGTCACTGAAAACCAGGGAGCATTAGACACGACTGTTTCTTCCTATTGTGGGACCCATAAGCAGTCCCCATCCACGGCCCTTCCTGGGATCGAATCCATGACCTTTCAGCGACTTGGGCCAGAATCCAATGAGCCGTAAATTCTGACTTTGTGAACTCATGCTTGATGTAGTTATGTGCTCACCAATACTTTCGATGAGTGTGCATGTCACCTTGGCATGATGCAGGATCCCAACTTGTCCCAACCTCTCATTACAGTTTCAGGACATCTATCCAGTAACTGTCAATGAGTTGGTGACTGATACTGAGATTGTGGAATACGTTAGGATGTCGGATTTATTTCAGTTATTAGATTTTACCCACAACCCGACGGTCAAAACTTTTTGTCTTGATACTTGAAGGTCTGAGGTCCCATCACTGATGCGGCTGTGAGTGGGAAATGCTGAGGAATTCTCAAAATAGGATGAAATAGCTGCGTCCAGTTCTCCCTGGTGACAATCAATGGTCTCTCCATCTGATGTTGGTTAACGACGAAATCCAAAGATTGAAACTAGTCTAAGATCTTCACGACTTCTATAATCTGATTAATAAACACGACCAACTTCAAATCAATCCTACTGTCTGTAGAACAATTCGGTAATTAATTGAGTCGACTATATTTGTGATAAAAGCAGTTAGATATATGCAAGTATCGTTGTAACACCGATAACATTAGAAGCTTGGATAATACCAGAAATTAGGTAGTCTGATGGAGTCGAACTGCATGTTATTTTGTTACTGAGTGTTAAGAAAGCCTTTAAATCCATGCTAATCTTATAAAGACAGAATGAAAAGCAGGTTGTAAATTGTAGTAACTACTAATTGTGATTTATAAAAGAAGAGGTGTTCAGTGAAGAGTTACTCTATTTTCAGTTGGACACTAGTGTAATGTTGTTTAGTCCTATGTTTGGTGTAGACTGAATTCCGTCAATCAAGTTTGCATTGTGGCCAGAGATATCACTCTCAAGCCGTTTTAACAGCAAAAGGTGTGTCGTTAGAACGGCACATTTCAGATAACCATTTAAGTAATATAGAGGGCGTTTACCGGGGAGAGACTGAAATAAAGTTAAACATAAAGGTGACTTATTGTTTCAAAGTTGGGACGTCCAAGAGTGACATGGAGGAGATCGTGTGATGAGGAACTGAAACAGTATGGAATAACATGGATGCAAGTGAAAAGTACAGCAGAAGACAGAAACAAGTGGAGGCGTGCAGTTGAAGCCCTATATTCCACTAGGAACCCAAGGGAACAATAATAATATATAATAATAATTGTTTCAAAGTTAAACAAGTAAATTTAATGGCATCATATAGGTGACAGTTTTGAGTAGCCTTCAACTGAAAATTGAATGAGAATCAAGTTGGCAACCATGATAATAAGGGCCAGGAATTTCATAAGGGGTGAGTGAGGGAAGGAATTAATACAATTAAGACACCAAACAAAAAACAAAAAATTACATAAGAAAAATAAAGGCCAGTTAAAGCACTCAAAATGACTAAAAGGATTTGTGAATAAAAATAATAAGAATAATTAATACTGCTTTTGTTTATCAAATCAGATAAGGATTAGTAAAGTAGGTTAAGAGTAATAATAAATTGTTTCAGCGTATTTCAATAAGCGCCCTTGACCATTTTTAAAGATGACCTTAAAGGCTGTTTTGGCATCAGTCTTGTAGTTCATATCGATAAGATATTTGGCTGTCGACGAAATTGGTAGTGGGTCTCCTGCGTCTATCGATTTTCGAAAGTCCATCTGTCTTTCTAACCATTTCGGAGTATGCTCTTCCACCCTCGCAGGCAAAGCGCGATTACTCCTCTCGATGTACGTCTGTCCACATACATACACAAGTAAATTGGTGTGTGTTGTAGGATGTACATAATCATTTGTGTCATTTTGAGGCTTGTAGTGGAGCAAATTTTTGGATTTTTCAATGATTACAAGCTGGGCTGCATAATAGGTCATACAAATGACCGAGTTTAATCTCTGTCTCAAAATCCAATTGTTTATTTCCCCATTGTTTGGTAATTTGATGAAGACATCCTTCTTAGGGACGGAATAGGTTGTAGGTTTTAAAACAAACTTACTTCCACACAGGTTTAAAATTTGAAAGGATATCCGTTTTCAACAAGAGTATCCATCAGTATTTTATTTTACATCCTGTATAAGATAAACCGTAGAAATATGCTGAACTCTCTTGAATGAGCATTTCACCTATCCTCTCTTATACTATAGTGGATGAAGGCTGTGAACATTTTAATATTGCTATGTCCAAGTAGGCTTTCTATAAACTGATCGCTTTATCGAACTATCTTCTCTGCGATTCAGGAGTATATCGGAAAATGCAAGTTGGTTGCAACTTTATTCTTAGCATTTAAAACTTATATGATTTTGTACGGAGTTGAGTCTATCCATTTGCGGACTCACATCTTCATGATCATCGCACATCCCAAAATATATACCACTTTACGTGTGTGTATAGACACATACACAGGGAGGAGTAATCGCGCTTTGCCTGTGAGGGTTGGCAAGCATTTTCCGAAATGGTTAGGAGGACAGATCAACTTTGGAGAATCGATAGACGCAGGAGACAGACAAATTAGTTCTCTTGTAAGCTTAGTGATTGAACAATCTTCTTCTGTGTGCAGCGTTCGAGATTTAATGTGTGAGTTGTTATTGCTTCTGCGGTTTGAAGAAATTTGATTCTTACTCTTTTAGTAAGATTTCCGCGTATTCTGTAGATGACTTTGAAGTTGATTTGCTGGTTCGCATGATGTTTACATTTGATCAGATGTTCCAGGACAGCACTGTGGATGGATCTTTTCTCTCCTTTATAAAACCATGAGAGTATGAAGGTTGACGGATACGTTTGGACAGCAAACGCTGAGTACACCCGAAATACCTAATTCCAAAGGAGCAGGTGAATTGATAGATACACACTGATAAGGCCAGCAGTGGTAGTTTATCCTTTATGTGCATGTAAATCAATGGTAAGTGAAAGTTCAACTGCAAAGAAGGTTTTCTTCAATGAATAGGAAAGGCGGTTCTCTTTATCTCCCCCCATGAGTCTCTATTTAAACGCAAATCCAGATTGTTATTATTATTTCCCTTAGTTCCCAGAGGAACATAGAGCTTCAGCCGTACGTTTTCACCTGGCTCCACGTCTGCCCACATGCTTTCGTATCCTGCTACGGCTTTGTTATTGTAGTCGATGCCTATCCTGTTGTGAATTTTTCGCTGTTGTTGTTCTGACTGCTTTATTTCTTATTTTCCTGATGCTAAAGGAAGCAAACGTCGTTGCTCTGTAACTGAAATATATATGTAACAACTTCCTCCTCGGGCTCGAGGCTAGCAACACCACCCTAAAACAAAAACGCTACAGAAACTTTAATACCATTAGTCTCCTTGCGGCGAAATAAAATGTATGTGTGGGGACATGGAACGTCCGCACTATGTATTAGACTGGTGAAGAAGATTCAGACAGAAAAGTCTTTTGTGAGCAGAAGGTTTGAGTGATTTTAGTGGTTTAAGCTTCATGGATTTTGTGGTAAAGAGGCTTTCAGGATAACCCCTTTGGAAAAGAACGCCTTTCAGAGTGTTTAATTGTGAAATGAATAAAAACAGAAATAAGGGAAATATTCTTTATTCAAGTAAGGTTTTCAGTGCCGGAATCATTAAGGTCAATTGAAAAAGTAGCGAAGCATATCCGGTTAGATTTTAATCGCCCCACAATTATTTAATGAATTTTGAACTACGAGACTTAAAAATTCGCTTGCCCGTATGTTTCCTTTTGGCATAAAAGCACACCAAAAACGCACTTCACTAGAAGATTTTTACACAAGATTTTCTTTTCATTTCAGTATCGAATGTGGCGAAAAAATCGAGCACAAACAGAAGGTGAAGTATGCATTGGAATTGATTTGAATAGGAATTTTCCTTTCAAATGGGGTGGTAGGTTCTGTTTCATTCTCTTCAAATGTTTTTATTTCATTTATTAATATTCTACACAAACAGAAAACAATTCAGTGTGACTGGTGATGAATCTCTGTACAGAGTGAAATTTACTGACTAGTTTCAGCAAGGAACTTTACATAGAAGTACTCTATTTCAAGCTACCACACTTCAGGATATAAAGGTACAAAAAGGGCGAATGCATCTTCACCAATGAGGGTAATTTTGTATAGTATCACCAATTGTCTCCAGTCATTGGTTCTTAGAATTTTGAGGACCCCATCCAGGAAGTCTAAACTTTTGGTTTGACCACCGTTAACTCTATGTCAGCTAACGTTAACCGTTGAGGAAGGCGATGGCTTCGCTTTAGTTGTACAACCTCATCGATTGACTTTCTCTACTTACCTAGTACTCTACGCCTAACCTTAATATTAGTCACCCTATTATAACACCTAACTCCGGGGAAAGAGCACAGAAATCTATGGTCAGAGACAGCTAACCAGCCTTTTCATATCTGCCCCTCTTAATTTTCACGTCTCATGGCTAACCATAAAGGAGGAGGGAGGCAACTGCCGCCATGAAATATACACGTCATTTGATCGATTATTTGTTATTATTATTCCCTTGGGTTCTGAGTGGAACATAGGGCTTCAACAACACATCTCCACTTTCTTCCGTGCTCTTTAGCTGGGTCCAAGACTGACCATGGTCTCTGATCTCCTCCTGCACATACGGTCTCCTCAATGTCAACATCGCATCGACGACCCACTCATCGCTTCCCATTTGGACTCCACTCGAGCAACGGCCTGCATTGTGTACTACGTCATTCGATGGCCTCCTCAATGTATGCCAGATCCATCTCTGTTTTCTCCTATATATTTGTTTAGCGATTGGCTTTTGGTTGGTTTGTTTCCAGCCAGATTTTCTTGCTGCTAATTCTTTCCGGCAACTCGATCTTCAATATGGAGCCAGCGAAGTGGGCAGCTGTTGATAAAAGTCTGCAGTGACTTGTTGGAGATCCTTTCCGTGACACGCAGTGAAAGTTTCTGACCCGTATAGAAGGACCAAGTTGACAGTGGAACGTGGCAGCCTTTCTTCTCATCAGTAGGTACCTTTCCTTCTTTCCAATCCTTTTGTCGCGTATTGACGAAGAGTCCCAAACTAGCACGAAAAAGCTATCCAGTACTCATTTGATCGATAGCCATCTGGACATGATGTCTACTTAATCACAGATTGTGTAAGTTGGTAAATCCCATACGAGCCTTTGGTATCCATGCTAACATTTCGTCAGCAGTTAGTGCCAGCAGAGTGGTACATACATTTCAAACAAAAATGATTGAAGCTCCAAGAGGCGACATCAGCAGTTCATCACAATTAAGAAGTGTCTAACTAATTGCAGGGATTAACTCATTATAAATGATGCAAATCTATATTGAATGAGAAGAAATAGTTTTAGCCTTCTTGTGAATTATCATTAAAAAAACTTCTCTTTGGCCTAAATATACTTCCAACAGGCAGACGATTGATAAGTGATATAACTCTTACTCTGTTGGTGCTTGGGTTACTATGCCTGCTGATATTTGTCTTATGTCATCTAACATAGAAGTTACATTATAAGTCTGATTAAAAGACTTTCCATAGGGTTAGAAATATTGTGAAATACATCGGTTACTATCCGATGAGCAGTTTGTCGACATATTAAGTTTTGACTTTTCTTTAGATCACCGGTGTACCTCCAAATGGTCTCTTTCTTTGTGGAGGATCGTTTTGATAGAAACCAACAACATGAAATAATAGCTGTACACCTGTTGCAACAAGCAGTGCTCATTATTCAGTAGATATCTACTGAGAATCAATATCTGAATGAACAACTCTTACGTATTTGAAGTGAAAATTGATTAGCAAAATTCTGAGTCGTAATACTATCGCTTATTTTATTGGAAACTAATGCCAGATAAGTGATTCTATTTGGTTTAATTGAATTTTGGATTTTCACGTCGATTGATTGGACCGAAGTGCTCGGTCTCAGGTTGACATGTCGGCTTCTTGAGCAGATGCTTCGACGATGTCTGGGTATTTAATTAGTATTTAATTGGTGGATGGTGACTAGCAGTGGAATCCAGGATGCGCATTTCGTCCTACTTGGGACTCGTTTCCCAGCTGGATGTACCTGCATTTCTCAGTGAGTGATGAAGTTCCCACCGAGGCTCGAACCCAGTACCCATGGTTTCAAACGCCAAAGCGTTATCCACCATCCACCAATTAAATACTAATTAAATGCGCAGACATCGTCGAAGCATCTGCTCAAGAAGCCAACACGTCAACCTGAGACCGAGCACTTCGGTCCAATCAATCGACGGGAAAAATCTAAAATTCAATTAAATCAATATGACCGGTGGCTCTCGTGGCCCAAGTGGTCTGGTGGATAACGCTTTGGCGTTTGAAACCATGGGTACTGGGTTCGAGCCTCGGTGGGAACATCATCACTCACTGAGAAATGCAGGTACATCTGGCTGAAAGACGAGTTCCAAATAGGACGAAATGCGCATCCTGGATTCCACTGCTAGTCACCATCCACCAATTAGATTCTATTTGGGTTTAGAGACTAGATACCTTACAGAAGGCATTTCCTATAGGCTACAGTAGACTTTCATTAACGGTTGTCTTCTCTGGCTCTGTACTGATGTTCGTAAGGCTTGTAGGGAAGAATAAGCAACAAGAAACTCTATCAACGAATTACCTGAGAGTTTATTGTCTAATGAATGTGGAGAAAGAAACGGAGATGGATTGGACATACACTGAGAAGATCACTGGAGTGACAGCAAACGTTGGTCAGACTCTCAAGTATAACCTGAATGAGAAGCTGCAAGTTGGACATTAGAAAGAACCATGCCGGACGTGGCGCGAGGTTCGACTCCCAGCAGACGCATTGCTAAACTTCACTCAGGTAACTAGTCAATAGAAAGTCGGGGAAAGAGTGGAGGCTGGGAATGTGGATATCAATTCCACCACATGAAGACAGGAAATCAAACTGGTAGCTCTGCTGTGCCTATTTAGAACGCAAATCAGGGAATATAAAATTAGACCATCCTGTTTATGCAACACAGCAGCATCAAAAGCATCCACCTAATTTACTAATCTTCTCTTTGTACTCTACCTGAGTTTAATTATTACAATTAATAAAGCATTTTCTTCACTTTAAACAAAACGCAAACTAGTTGGAAATGGTGCATCACCACATGCATGCAGTGAAACCTACAGAGGAAGTGAAGCAGCCTCAGAGTTGGAAACTCAAAGTCTTATTGGCAAATTGAATGCTCTGCATAAAAATGTTGTTTTATACCTTAGTTTACATTCATTCGGTCAGTACATTCTAACTCCATTCGGTTTTTCACGGTACAGTTTTCCACCGCATTATGAAAAATTGGTGAGTTATTGTTTAATTATGTGATTTATTACTAATGTTTAAAAGTTTCATTTCGTTTGTTTTATCTGACTAAATGATAAATTAACGTGAAATATTTGTATAAAGATCTTTATGTTGCCTTCAACAACCAGAAAACGTCAATAAATAAGGCAGGATCTCATGAATTCACGGAATTTTAGTAGGACACTACATTGTAAAACATAACAATAGTAATAATAATGGGCATTATTCCAAAAACAGTACTTATAGTGTGGTGAGAACTGTCTGCAAGCCAATATTGTAGACAACAATTTATGTCAGTGTTCACGTCCCGAATTGGGGTTATGAGAAAAAAACAAAGTTTAACCTTGAGAGAATCACCAGCCAATCACAGCGGAGTTAACGTGTGGAAATATGATTCGCAGTTATATGGCTTGATTTTCTGAGAAACGGCCACAAAGAGATGACCGAATAACCTTCATCCAGAAAACAATCAATGAGAAGAGGTTGCTTCTCCGCTAACAACAATGCTAATAATAATGCACATAAAAATCTATAAATATCTCTTGATTTTCTCAATAAACGATCTATTGCGTGACTCTTGTCTTCTGTCGTTACAATAGTACAGTATGGAATCCTCAGCATTTGTTATAATATTGTATCTAATTTTACTATTATTATTGTTCCCTTGGGTTCCTAGTGGAACATAGGGCTTCAACTGCACGTCTCCACTTGCTTCTGTCTTCTGCTGTACTTTTCACCTGCATCCATGTAAGTCCATACTGTTTCAACTCCTCTTCACACAATCTCCTCCATGTCACCCTTGCACCAACGAACCACTCGCCGCTTCCCTTTCGGGTTCCACTCGAGCACTGGCCTGACTGACGAGCGATGTCACCCACCCAACGGCCTCCTCAGCGAGTGTCCAATCCATCTCCACTTCTTTCTCCTGCATATTTGTTGGGCGATTGGTTCTTGTTTTGTTTCTTCCCATAGTTTCTTGTTGGTTCTTGTTCTTTCCAGCCATCTGATCTTCAGTAGTATATAGAGAGAAGACAGTTGTTGATAAAGGTCTACAACCTGGTGGAAATATTCTTGGTGACCCGCCAAGTTTCTGATCCATCCGTATAGAAGAACTGACTGACTTGACGTTTGTATTGAAAATCCGAATCACTTTGTTGTTGATGCTGAGTTAGTGACGAAGATTTCCAGGTTGGTTTCAGGTTGATGAATGTGTTTCTCGCCTTTCGGATTCTCGATTTGACATCCTCGTTGGTTCCTTCTGTAGTCGAGACAATGCTCCCTAGATAAGTGAATGAAGTAAGCTCTTTCAAATCCCTCCCGTTGATGGTGATTGGCGCTGGATGTTGCTGCTGCTGTTGTTGTTGTTGGTTGGTTATTTTCATGACCTCCGTCTTGTCTATGTTCACCTGGAGTCCTGTCTTTGCTGCTTCTTCGACCAGTTTGTCGGTTTTCGCTTGTAAGTCTTCGATTTTGTGTGACATCAAACATAAATCATCCACGCGCGAAATCCAGGTCTTCTAGATTCTTCACATCGGTGGTCCAGGATATCCCTGTCTTCTCGTTTCCCACTGTCTGACTCATAATCCTGTCCACCACAATTAGAAATATCATTGGTGATAATAAGCACCCTTGTCTGACTCCTGTGTTTACTCCAAACGCTTCACTGAGTTTTCCGTTGTGGATCTAATTTCCTCAAAATATAAATAAAATTAACCACAGGAATTTGTCAATATTTACAGTAGAAATAATGTCGAGAATATGCAGAGTACAAAATGAGAATAATAACTCTGATAATAATAACAGTGGGTTTCTTTCAGACAGTATTGTCAATACAGTCTAGAAATTTTGGCATATTATATAGTATTCAATCTAATGTTCTTTTGACAGGGGAAAAACAAAAAAATAACAATTATTACAGAGCTTTTTTTTATTCCTTTACGTTCCCAGTGGAAAATGGAGCTTCAAGTTAGAGTACTGAAGTTTCAGTAGCAGTGCTATTTATTTTTAGGGGATGGGGCTGCTAGCCTCATGCCCAACCTTCCCTTTTTACCAGTCTTATAACTGGTTTAGTCTCGGCCGAGGGTCGGACTCCGGACCACATGCGCAGTTGGCAAGCATTCTACCGCTGTGCACATTATAAAGGTTAAATGATGTTTACACTTATGAAAAAATAAACACAAAATTGAGAGGATTATAAATATGAGAATAATAATAAGCTTGAGGTTATAAGGGTGGAGAAAATGGTTCATTTACCAGTAGATAGAAGTTTAGTTAGCTTGTGCCTGACACTATTTTCATCACATAAAATACATGCCAAATGTGGTGTCGTGGGATCTTTGTACTTAGACGTGCCCACATAAAGTCTTTCCAAATGACTTCTTGTTTTACCTAAGGAGACACAAAGTGAAAGCTGGGGGAAAATGGATGCTCACAGTCTGACAAAATTCCTTTAGCAAATATGTTGCATGAAATCAAGTGCCTATCAATGACGATGTCAACGATATGGCCCAATAGGATGAAATTCGCCCTACTGACAGTCTTCAGAGTTCTACGAAGTATGACATAATCTTTTTAAAGCTATCCAGGAAGGAATAAGGGTGAATAGTAAAGAAGAATAGGTAAGGTGGAAGATTTGACAAACTGGCAAGTAAATAAAATGCATTGAATTAGTCACTAACAGTGACATGTATGTGCGTTTCTCAGGTCTTGTTTAGGTAGATAAGCTGAAGGAGGTTTGAGAGATTGGAATTAAGATAATAATCCATTACGCTTCAGCTGATTACATCACGGTAATAAGCAATTAGTTATCAGAGAAAGAACTTGAATATATCAAAGAATTGTAAACTGAATACTATCGATAATAATAGTAATTATAATAACAATGAAACTAAAACGAGTTAAGATGATGGTATTGAGGGGAGGATAGTATCTGCCGGAGCAGTTACATTGGAAGAACAAAAAGAAAGGCATACCTACAATATTCTGAAAATGCATCGAAAGCCCTATATCTAAAAGAAACAAAAGCTTTAAACAGTGCCATTGCCAGTCATCTTCTTGACACAGGTCATGAGGTGGATGTCGCGAGATCGTTCAAAATTATCAGTAAGCGCAAAAGAGTTCAATTCTCCTCAAGTTTGCTGAAGCCATCTCCATCAAGCGCCTGAAACCTGATTTGTGCGTTCAGAAAGAAGCGGTTATCAGTCTTTCTTTGCCCTGGTCACTGGATATTTTCACCCTGTCTTTCGTCTGATTACCTTATGTCGAAAGTCTCCATTGTGTTTAATCATTATTGTTCGGAATAAGGTGTTTATTATATATATGATTATCGAATGCATATATTGATTGATTTTTGCCTAAAAAAGAACTCAGTGCAAGTATGTTAAAATTGTTTCCATGGATATACTTAGTATTGACTTTGGCGCGTAATTAGCTGATGAGAACCCAACGAAATAAATGATGATACCATTTTATTCTGCAAAACCTGTTGTTCTTGCTTTATTGAACTTTTAAATGAATCATATTTAGCAATGAGGTTGAATATGATATAGGCCTTTGACGGAGTTGAGTACAAAGTAATTCGGAGACTGCATCAAAACTAAGGTGTGCAATACCCAAATATTGGTCAACCTCATTCGACAGCTATATGACAATGCTGCGTGTCATGTGATCCATGTCGGAAACCTCAGTGAAGCCTCTGAAGTGAATATTGGAGTAAGATGAGGCTGCCTACTATCACCGAGGACATTTCTATTTGTGGTGGACTGGATTAAGTGTCAGACTGTGGACAGCGAGAGGAATATGTTAGACCAATAGAAAGATCCCAGAAGATCTTAACTTCACGGACGATTTGTGTCTAATGTCACATAAACTCCATAGCTTACAGGTGGAAGGCAACAAGTTGGAATAAGAGGCAGGCAGTGAAGAAGAGACTTCAAGTGAACGTAGAGAAGCCTCAGGTGTTGAAGGTAACCAACCAACCAACCACAACAGCAGCAGCAATTACTATCAACGGGTGAAATTTGAAAGAGGTTATCTCATATATCTGTTTAGACAGTATCGTTTCAACTACAGGAAGCATCGATGAGAATGTCACAGCCGGCATGGATAGAAAATGCAGGGTAAACTTCCATCATCCTGAAGTTAGTTTGAAAATCTACCTCATAAAGAACAAAAATCGGATTTTCAACACCAATGTTAATTCATTTCTTCTGTATGGATCACATATGTGGCGCATCACAAAAGGCATTCTCAAAAGGCTACTGTGAACCTTCATCAACAGCTGCCTTCTCTGGTTGCATATTCAAGATTAAATAGTCAGAAAGAATTGATACCACGAAAATCTGGGAACGAATGGATCAAGAATATATTGTTCAATAAATATGTTGGAGGAAATGGAGATGGATGTACTGAACACATACACTAGAGAGACCGTTGAGCGTTTTAACAATATACAACAAAGATCGTATGTAGTACCATGCCATAGTGAATTAAATAACGAGACAATCGTCGTATTATTCATCTACATTGAGTGAATTCCTCTTAAGATTATCAAAATGGCAGATGGGATTGGAATTCGTATACATTAGACTAAACTACGACGTTATACTTAAATAAAAAATGGCTTTAAGGGTATAACTTGATATTATTTTTCCGTAGACTACATACCTAGGAAATCATGTGCAGTCGTGTTCTTGATCCCATGGGAGACTGTAAATGTGTGCTGTTAAATATTACCCAAAGTTCGATGGTTGGTTTAGAAAATCCACCCAATGAGGTTCAAAACCAGAAACTTCCGGTTACAAGGTAAGTTTGTAGACCATTAAGCCACCATGAGCCAACCCACTGGCCAATGTATTCCATCTTCTACGATTTCGCCTTGCAACCAGAAGGTCCTGGGTTCGTATCCTGGTGAGTATGTGCTACTGAAGAATCCCAAACCGAGACGAAACATCTGCCCGGTAAACCCTGGTGGTATTCAATGGCTGTGTAACTCAGTCTAATTCGTGATTAAATGAGAAGTCAGATATGCTCATTTCAAACAATTAGGTGTTTAAACACTTAGCTAAAGAGAACTGTCTTATTTTTGAAAGGATTATCATATTTTCACGTATCTGCCTAAGTTTTGTAATACTTAAAACATGATAATCCAAATGAATACGGTATATTTATCCAAAATATGTAGTGCATATAAATTAGATCACTGTCGGATTAAAAAGAGAAGTGGTACGATGCACATATTTTACGTGTCATGGTGGTGTTTTGGTCGGCATACCGATCGTAAAGTTTCATAGTCAACGCATAATTTTCTAGGTAGGTAGTTTAGCAGTTCAACTTCTGTACAGCGAAACAGTATTAGCTTTACAGAATACATTTTTTAATATGTCCGTAGCATAGTACTAACAAAAATAACTTTATTGTGAACAATGACTACATAATTTCAGCGGAAATTATTGCAAAATGCTTTCCCTTCGCCGAGGACTTTCAGGTAAAATGGCTACTGACAGGGTAGATCACGTGGCACAGCGCTATTTAACCTGTAGTGCATACCAGTTCCTTATGATATTTCCATCTAGTTGGAATCCAACTATGGCAGCCAGCTTGAGCACCTGGAAACTTCCATCACTGTCTATTTTATATAATTTCACTTTTTCAGTTTGTTTAAATCTAGCGAAGTATTACCGCTAATAGTATTTCGTTTACTCTGGTGAGTGTTTTAAACATGTACAACCTGATCATACGCAAGTTTCTACTATACATGAGAAAAAGCATTATCCAGCTGGATGGCAGCTTATCCGAATACATGAGGTGATTGTTCCTGGTTGGTGTTCTTGGTTAATAAAATGTACTCCTGAACTTTTTATAGTTGGTATTCAATAATATGTCATCGTGTATTTCTCGAAGGAGAAAACTTAAGAAAAGATACTGTAATAGTGGATTGGTGTCACATGATTTACTGTCAATCAAAATTATTTATTTGAGGATCGTGGATGAAGAGAAAAATATCAGGCAATGAACTCTGCTTGAAATTCTGTACATTAAAGAAGCAGTGTTCAGAACAAAGCTATTAGTATTATTAACTACAAAAAGTTCAAAAGTACATTTTAAGGCCCAAGGACATAACTGAATAATTAAAGACCTCAGGTGGTTAGTTTTATTTCCGTAGGGAGTAGTGGCAGTTTGTATTCAAAATCTCGGAAACAGTTATCTCGTGGATTAAGATACTCCACCGTTCTATGTGTTTACATTTTCTAAAGTTGAGTAGCAAACTTGTAAATCAACAGGTTGTAGACAATTCTGATAGTCGCGAGAGTAGAAGACACTATTAGGGGTTGTATGATAAAGCAAAGTGAACCAGAGAAATTTTATAGAATGTAATGATGGAGATCTTCGATAGTACAAGTTTTGAGCAGCCCACCGTACAAGTTAAGGATAAGTTCTGTTTTCATACACATCAACTATACTTAATTCAATGTGTGTTTATAAATTCACCTACTCGTGTGGAGCTAGTTATATTGGCCTAACAAAGTGCACACTTATTAAACGCATCTCTGAACATAATCCAGTATGGTTAACAACAGGACAATGCAAGACAATTACTAGCTCAATTCTCGAGCATTCGGTGAACTCAAGCCACGTAGCTCCACCAGAGTCGTCTTTCAAGATCATCTACAAGGTGAGGCCAAATGGTACAAAGGGCATCTGGTTTCGACTTTTGTGTATGGCGGAGGCGCTGGCAATTCGTCAGTACAACCCCGAACTCTGTAAACAGAAAAAGTTTGTCGAGTATCTTATCCTACCTCGGTCTTAACCTCCTCTAGTCGTTGCCTGTAAAACATCTCAATTTAAAAAAAATTTACTTTTATTCTGCTTTAGCTTTAATAATTAATTCACTATTATCACTCTCATACGTTCCTTCTGTACATTTTCACACCCTCTTCACGCCTGTTAAATCGACACTCAAGTGTCTTTATTCTTGCTCAATAGCAGTTTTAACCTTAGCAAATTTCTAACTTTGTTCCGTTGAGTACCACGTAATTTACAACTTTTAACTTTCACTTCTAAAGCTACTTCTGAGTGATTATATTAATTATGTCACCCCCTATTACTCAATAATAGACTACTATACATTTTCGGTAAATATAAATATGACTGCACAGCCTATGAAGATGATTTCGTCGATAAAGAAAATTTTCTTCGCTGAATTTGTATTTTATTTTTTCTATGCGTAATTCCTTTATTGTTAATAACTATATGGATTGTGAATGACTCACTCGAAGTACTGTAGAATTCCAGTCAGAAACAATTCAGAAGTTTTGATAGCTGATTATAAGGCTACATTGATTCTAGCAGATGTATAAATTAATTTGAAAAGAAGGCACGATAGCTCACTATGTCATTATAATGAATGAAAGCGTTGATAAATATCGGATACAACCTCCCAAGCCAACGTATTGTGGTTTGAACGCTGGAAACCAATCATCGCGTTCTACTGCATAGCTAACAAAAAGCTACTTGAGTTAGACAAAGTCCCACCATGTCCCGACGATAGCAAAAGTACAGTTATTTACGATAAAGTCTGTGGTAATATATGACACTAATAACATATCTGAAACTGAAAATTACCTCAACAGTGTCGTCAGGCAGCTAATCAGATCAATAGTTTCTTCAGTAGAAAACAGTTTGTCAACTCTTGTATTCTAACCATCCCTCTTTACTGCTTCCCATTAATCTTTCCTGGACTACTTAAGAAAGACTTTGCTTTGCTGCCTAGGGCACTAAAAGCTGTTAGTAGGACAAGTGGGATTTCGTTAAACCAACTGGTTAACACAATTGTGGATAGACATATAATGTCATGTAAGAAACTAGCGAATACTATATTGTCAGACCCCGAGCATCCTCTCTATACGCAGCTCTCTCCTTGCATTTCATCTGGTAGAACTAGAAGCAACTACAGGAGGCTATATGCTAGGATTACCAAGTACAAAAACTCCACAATACCTTATCTGGCACAGCTGTTATGTGATGAGAAATCCGTCAGGTGTGACACGATCAACTTACTGCGGCCCTCTAACAAATAGTTCCCATTAGCTTTTGTTTCTCCTTTCTTTGTTACTATTATATTGTTGCTCACATATTCTATTACACACTAATTTTATATTTCATATCCTGTGTTGCATTGTTCAAATATGTGAATGCAATTCCGTTCTTTTTTATTTCTTTTATTTATCTTTTTTTCTCTATGTTGTTGTTGCTTTTTATTTTTAAAATCTTATAAAAATTTATAAGGTAATTAGATGCAATATTGTCATGCACGCTGAAAATTCCATACCTGTACTACAAATACTGTTTGGAATAAAGCTATTATTACTATTATTATTACAATTACAATAGAACACATTTTTTGACTAAACTTAACCGTGAGAAGTACCTGGGAACCAAGTAGAATATTTTCAACAAGATGAAATCAAAACTCTGTTTCAGGAAGAATCACCCACCACGTAATTTACACAGACAGTCAAGGATCAAAATCCCTGTGGCAAAGGAATCCACTGGAACAAAATCACAATTGTTAAATGACACATTACCAACACCATTCCACAACCTCAGAGAAAGTCGTCCAAACTAGGGATTACACAAAGAAAAAAGACAGGTACTAGGATAAAGTCGATAGATGATATGCAAGCTTTACGACAGTGATATACAGCATAGGAAAAGGGAGGATAATAATTACAGAGTGGATTGTTCAAGGAGGACTTTCCGAATAATTTATCCATTACGTCACATATTATTTGATAACTATTCTTTGAATATAATTCTCTTTCTTTTAGATAACTATGGGTCGTAAAGTGAGAAAAATGATACAAAATCGTCATGGTTATGTTTATCAAGTTGGTGCATCATCTGAACTATTGTGTAAGTTGAAAAAAAAACATTTGTTCATTCTCAGAGTATATCTTGAAACAAGCAACAGCTGAATGAAAGAAAAAACGCAGTGTATCTAATGTATTCATAAATTTCCATAGAAGAAGAAGGAATTCGTCAGCTGAATACTCCTCTACAAACACTGTCGTTTATACAATTCCGTTTTAAGGTTAATACACATAGAAACACGTGAACATTGTAACGACAAATATGCATTCGAAACGATTAGTTCCATTTATGAATTTAAAATAGGGCTGCATGTATCCATTGCGTTTGGTTCTCTGCCAATGTTTTCACCTGGCTCCACGTCTGCTCACATGCTTTCATCACCTCTTAGCGTGACCTACTCCTCCGTATCACCCTCACACTGACGACCAACTAACCACTTCCCAATCGGGTTCCAATAGAGGGCCTGTCTTGTGATGTCACTTGATGGTTTTCTCAGAATATGGTCAGTCCACCTCTAATTCTTCCTGCATGTTTCTAGCACAATTGGTTCCTGCTCGGTTGGTTCGTTCCCAGAGATCCTTGTTGCTCATCTCTCCTGACTATCTGATCTTGAGTAGTATTGGACGATGACAGCCGTTGATGAAGGTGTGTAGTTTGTTCGAAGTGTCCTTCGTGACGCGCAATGTCTCTGATCCATATAGCAGCACTGACTTCACACTGGATTTGGAAATCCACATCTTATTTTTTATGCTGAGTGCTACTGATCTCCACACAGACTTGAGAGTAATGCAAGCTTGTCTTGATTTCCTGATCCTCACTTTGATATGCTCATCAGTTATATCGGCAAGTAGTTGAAACGATGCTTCCCGTAGCAATAAGAAGACATAATTTGTCTGAATCGTGTAATGTATATTTGTGCAACAAATTTCGAACAATCTGTTCACACACGGACTTGTCATAAGAATATATATGAAATTAATAAAGAGGTAAGAGGTAAGAAAATAAATTTAGGTCAAGTGAAAAGGACATGTTGAAGGTGAAAATACCAATGAAGATCACTAAACCAAATAAGAAGGTAATAGTAGTTCTACCCTAGCTGGTATCAAAACAAAGTTTACCAAGGAAGGCTTAGTGTGATGACAAATTGTTGCTTTGAAGGTGGCTTAAACTTTATAATTACTAGGGCTACCACAAACTTTTGGATACTCCCATATATCCATCTAAACCCTTAGAACATGCAACAGATGATGTCACATCCCTCTGTATTTACCAATTTGAATGTACTTGTGGACACACATAGATGGGGAGGACTCAGTGATCTGTGCAAGCAAGGGTTGGCTTCACAGCATATTCCTAAATGGCCTCAGAAGCAAGTAGAATTCCCAGAACCCATTAGTGTTGAGAACAGATGACCTAGCTCCTCTACAGTGAAACCTATAACAGAGACAGGACATAAAAGTGATGTTTACAGGTGTTTTAAATCTATCTGTAGAACGTGTTTGGGGCGAATCCTAAGGTTTATGGAAGCCCTAGCTGGTAGTTAGGGAGTTTAAACCACCTTTTAACGTTCAGAAACAATTCGTGACCACACTAAACCTTCCTTGGTAAACTTCGTTTTGATACCAGCCAGGGGAGATCTACTATGTATGTTATCAGATTGTTCGATATGTGTTGCGAAAATACACATTACACGATCCAGACAAATTAAGTCTCCTTATTGCTTTGTCTAAATTCATAAAAAGAACTAATTGTCTTAAATAAATACTGATTTCAACAAATATTAGATCTATAGGTGACCATGGATAATCTATTGACGTTATTATTAAGTGAATAATATTCATCAAAGTAGAAGAGATCCAGTGAAATTCAGGGAGTACTAGATAGCTGTTTCCTCCTAGCTTTGAACTCATTGGCCAAACTGACCTGCCGGGTTTCGAACCCAGGACATGCACCACTCAGCCTGTGAGACCCATATGTTCTTTGAATTCCGACTTCAACCAGTTCAGGAATTTAACAACACCATCAGCCGACGTCACACCCAACCTGGTAAACCCCTTTGGTCAAGAATTCTCATTGGAATTCCAGGCATTGCCGTCATTGTAATCAGTCACCAGCGAGTATCGTAATAATCGGCGGTTGTTACTTTTTGGGAATTTGATTTATTTCTTGTAACTGGTAGGTCCTGGTGGGTGCGTCATACTGGAAATTCCCAGCCTAGGACAAAACAGCTATCCAGTATTCCTTTCTGGTTCTCTATGAGTCTCCACTCATGATCACACTTGAAACAAACTGAATTCTTACACACGAACTTTGAATTTTGTTTTTGCCTGAATGTCTACACAGTTGCTTTCAGGCGGTTCACTGTTAATAGTCATTTTAGAGTTTATTTAACTCACTAATACATAGCAGAGTAGATTGATATTATTTATCATTTTTAACGATACTACTGAAATAACATAATAATAACATAAATGAATTTTTTAAATTGTTTTGTCTTTTTATGATAATAGATGAGGCATCTGGTGCTACAGATGATTATGCCGCCGGTGAATTAAAAATACCCTATGCCTACACAATAGAATTATGTGATGAAGGTCGATATGGATTCCTTCTACCACCATCGTATATTGGACAAGTCGGGAGACAAGTGTGGACAGCATTGAGTGTTTTTGCAAATGACATTTATCCTTCATGAAATACATTGACGGATAAAAGGCATAGATATATATTTATTAATCTGATAGATGATTCTTTAGTTAGATTAGTCTGTTTTCTATACACCATTGCATGCTGTCATTTTCTTCTCAATGACAATTTTTATGAGTATATACAATATACTACTATTAATATTATCACCGTTATTATGCCTTTCGGTTAAGAAGTGGAACATACACCTTCAAAAGTACATCTCCATTTCAGGCCTTTATCTCCTTGAAGTCCTCCTTAGGACCAACGCCCAACTTTTCCTTTCCATCCATATTCATTTTCCTTGGAATGATGTTTGAATAACAGGTTCTTGATTGGTTCATGCTCAGAGTGCCTAGTTTCGAATCCTTTCCGGCCATTTGATCTTTTGTATGGAGTGAGGATAGCTCTTAATGAAATACTTGAGTAGCCCATTGAATAACGGGGTTTTCGTGACACACCAAGTTTCTGATGCATATTGAAGAATGTCTATGGAATTCGTGTTGGAAATTCGAATTTTGTTGTGTGCCAAAGATTTCCACAGTGATTTCCTGAATGGCTTTGATATTTTCATCAGTCTCCGATATAATGCTGTCTAGCCAGATAAGTGAAGGAAGTGGCTTCTTTCAAATTTCTTCCATTGTTGGTGATTGGTGCTTGGTTTTATTGATCATCTTCATCACTCTTTTCTTCTCTATCTTCACTGGAAGTCCTGTCTTTGCTTCTTATTCCCTAAACTTGTTGGTTGTCGTTTGTAATTCTTCGAAATTTCGGGACATTAGACATAAATTGTCTGTGAAGTCCTAGTGTTGTGGTTTTTATTGGTGTTCATGAGTTATCTTTCAGGACAAGTGTTCTTTTTTCTTTGAAATCCTTTTTCCCTCTAAATATGGATTTCTTGAAATGTTTCAATTGAAGTTTGAATTTATTATGGAATAAATCTTTCGATGGGGTTTTTAAATTTTGTTTTCATTGGGTTTCAATTTTCTAACTATTTCAACACAAACACTATAAAGAACACTGTAGAACCGGCCTGAAGCCTTCGTCAGAGTGTGATCAATAAAGCTGAATAAAGGAAGAAAGACAAATGTGTAATAGGACTGATTATTTTATAGGATAATTAGATGAGTATGCTATGAAACAGAAACACAGATCCTCGCTAGTGAGGAGTCGTGACCAGTGAGGTCCACCAGGTCGGCAGTGATGACAAATACTCGTCGATGAAATTGGCTGGTGCCAGTTGTGAACTGATAGCGGTTGAAATGAATGAACTGGCCATTGGATAGGGTCGCAGTGTCTGGGTTGGAACGAAACAGCTGTCATGTACTCCCTGTTGATTTTCATTGGTTCTCTAAGTGATATCAATCCGCGACTAAACTTGAAACAAAAAGATGGAGTTAAAACACTTTTTTGTGTGGAAACGAATTTTAACTATAAAGAGTATGACAATGTTATAGTTAACGTACCTACAGAAAATATGTTTTTCTTAACTAGCAAACATGAGGTAGAGTGTGAAATGATTAGATGAAACAGTAGAATGCATCTAAGCGGGATAGAAAACACATGAGGATAAATGACGTAATAGAATTGTATATATTTAGTTATGCAACTTATATCACCAAGATGTTGCAAGATGCTTCAACGTCTCTTTCTGCATGCATAGACTTCATATAATTCGTTTGATGGTGATTGCCTCAGTAAAACGTAGCAAGCTAGGTTCCTTTTGTCTGTTGATCATTTCGAACACCTTTAGAATGTCCACAAAATGGAGCTGAATCGTACTGTTTAATGCCTGAGAGCCATTTACTCTGAGGTTCTTTAGTACGTGTTTAGAAATGAGAACAATACCCTTTCTCTATGTTCTTCGAATGTATGTGCTTTTTCACGCACAGTTGGAGGTAACATGAGGCGGGTGTTTATCCACCTTTGACTGTCTTAAATGACTTATCCTTTGATAAATAGATACATGCTTGGCGGTTGGATATTTTCTGTTCAGGGCAACATTCAGTATGCATCTTATTCTGCTAACAGTATCATCACCTTCGAAGGCAGTCTATGGAAAGATGAACCTTTCATGCACTATGTTGCAACTCACTTTTTCAACACTATGTTTCCTACGTTTGTCGATAAAATTCTGTGGGTAGCCATTAGCATCCAGGTTCTTTCCCACAATGACAAGTGCTTCATCAACCTTTTCTTCTGAACGAAGCTTTCCTACATGATCAAACAATGTTCTCATTAATCCTTTTTTGTAGCTTACAAGGCAGACTCTTTCTTAGTTCAGATAAACTGCCCATCTTTAGTTCTGTCTTCTGTGGGTATGCCTTGGGATTTTACTGTCTGTATGACGTTGGATATCAAGGTCAAGAATATGAATCTTGTTCTGTCTTTCACACTCCATTGTTAACTTTGTGTTAGGATAACCACTATTCAGGAGTCTAATATTCGAGCTGCATCACTAAAACAGTCACAGATGATTGAACATGTCATAGACGTATGTCAAGAAACTTAGTCCTAAGATCCTATTACTTCCGAAGACGCTCCGAATCGACAGACACTAAGCACAGATATTCAAGTATTGGTTTGTAGGGATTTGGTTGATTGGTTGCAGGATTTCATCATGAGCTGACATTGGTTAGAGAACCAATACTTGAATATCAGTAAGATGCTCGCTGGCGACTGACCCTATTCAGGTAGGTAGTAACCTGGGGTTCCAGTGGGAAGTCGTGACCAGTAGGGTGCAACAAGTCGGGTGTGAGGACAAATACTCGCCAAAGACAATGGCTAGTGATTGCGCTATATCGTGAATTTGCAGAAGTTAGAATTCATGGGCCATTGGATCGGGTTCCAGTGGCTTGATGGTCTACGCGCTAGCACGCCTTGAAACCAGAAGTTCCTGGGTTCGAACCCCGGTGGGCGCGTACTGCTAAAGATTCCCAAACAGGGACGAAACAGCTGTCCAGTACTCCCAGCTGGTTTTCCAATGGTTATCTAACCAACGCCAGCTCATGATGAAATCCTGTAACTAAGCACAGATATCGACTTTAATTCAGAAACACAATGGATGACAAGAAATTGTATTCTTCGATAGTTAAAATCAATATTCTGTACTAAGTCTATAAACAAATGTTTTTACAAGGAATGTATTGTACTTTTATTTGTATTCTTTCGTCTTCTTCTAACTGGTGCACGATCGCATTACTCGCGTCTTCAAGTTGCCCGCTAGTGACGACCAAGGCTAATTAACAAACGTTCAATGTTCATAATCATCGACAACGTACCTCGCAGGGAAGTCTGTTTGATTAATTGAAGACTTAATTCTTGTATGTTGGACATAAAAGTATCCTCCAGAATCTGACTCGGCGGACTTCCTATAGCGACTGTGATTAGTTTGTGCCAAAACTTAAGGCACACAATTTGTGATATGAGTTTGGGTGAGGTTTACTGGACATCTTTACTCTCAGTGCTATGAATATAGCTCATGTATTTTGGTCTGAACGCAAAAGTCAGTAATTAATTAGACCAAGCAAATGATATCTACACGATTTTCTGCGTTCTTCTCTGTAATTTACAGAACTTTCATGTGTTAGGTACAGTCAAAAATCATATTTCAACAATATCAAAATACACCTTAGAATGAAGAAATCTTTGGAAGGGTTGAATAACAGTAAAGTCAAAAATCAAAACAAGTGATTCAGTGAAGAGTCTCTGTTCAGCGGATTTACCATCAAACTGAACAACCATATGCATGTATATATATATCCATTTTTTCCTATTTTCTGAGATCCTCTTTAGTTGATTCCATGATTTTCCATAATCTCTGATCTCCTCGTGACGCCCAGTTTAAGTTGCCGACCCATATAGAAGAAAATTTGTGTTGAAAACCCAAATTTCGATCTTTGTGCTGAGTGAAGCAGATTTCCAAACTGATTTCAGAGTGCTGAAGGTGTACCTTGCCTTTCAAATTCTCACTGGTTGGCTTTGACATCTTCGTCCGTTCCACATGTAGTTGAGAAGATGCTACCTAGATAAGTGGAGGAAGTAACTTCTTTAAACTTCTCCCATTGATAGCAACTGGCACTGATTGTTCTTGTTGATGCGTGGCCAACTTAACCACCTCTGTCGTCTCTGTGTTTACTTGAAGTCCACTCTCCGTTGCTTATTTTTCCACTTTGTTGGTTTTCGCCTGTAGGTCTTCGAGTTTATTTCATATTAGACGTAAATCATCCTCCAGCCCAAGATTTTCTGGAATCTTGTTGTCGGGCCAGTGTATAACTGTCTTGTCGCTTCGTGCATTCTTCCGCATAATCTAGTGCACCACAATTAGGAATATCATCGGTGGCAATAAAAAGGTGTCCTTGTCTTTCTCCTGTTTTCACTTCAAACGCTTTTCTGAGTTTTTCATTGTGAATCAACTGACACGTGCCGTTAATAATAATGCGATTTGTTACAAAAAAGTAATTGATTACGTACTTCATGAAATAGTTCATGAAATATATGCATCTCAGATGGGATGCAGAACAACACACGATTCTCACAGCAGTCCAGGAACAAGTAGCCGCTAGATAGTAACCGGTTTCATGCGTCTAGTCCTTGGATCGGTGTCGGCTGAATGCTAACACTCACTTTTGCAATTTAGTCACCATACTAGATCACTTGTAATCGCAGTTTACACTGAATTGACACTAGGTGACTGGAGACAATCGGCAACAAATCATGGACCTAGGTTCAGTGTTTGTCGACACTTATCAGTGGGGTGTATCTGTAATCTTTAAGGAATACATGTCCCCTCTGAGATTCGAGGAGTCATCTTCCAATGCTGCAGTCAGACACGTTATCATTCAGCTATTTAGACTCGTGAATGACATTTACATTCCATTTTTTCTGGATAGAATTCGAAAAAAATGAATTTGTGGTTTACATATAAATAAAACTTGGGCAGTTTTATGTGATTCGAAAATTAACTTATTTATACGATGTATCACATAATGCGAAGAAACACTATTCACTGGATGACAAAGTTTTGAACACAGTTTATTGTTTGTAATTACGCTGAATGTAACTACACAACTTCGAAACTTGATTTCGGTTATTCCCTTAATTCTTTCATATTTGTCCTAGGGGTGGCAGAATATTCCAGATATCCAGTAAAGATGTTTAACCGTTCTTGTTTCACGTAGAATTTTTAAAAAAAAGCAGGAACAAATGCGGAGTTTCAGTCCACAAACCCACTTAAAAACAAATTACGTCAGCTGAAGAATCCTGTAAAGCTCATTAAGCAGTGACTGTGAGGCGAAATATGTGGGCAGAATTAGGAGAACTGTATCAATTAGATTGTCAGAGAACAAAAACCAAAAAAATCGAGATTATTTTCTCTTAAGTTCTGAGTGGGACATAAGGATTCAGAACGCAATATTCAGCGAAGAAACTCTTTTCAGCGAATTTATTACCAAGCTGTACAGTCGTATATATATGGTCAAAGGTGTGAATACATGAAATAATAATAGTATGAAATGCAATTAAAATATTTGTGATTATACTCATAGTTTAATGTCAAGTGGCAAAATAATTAGTGTCATATGTAGAATAATACATTAGGTGTATAGAATTTTGGAAAGGGGTACATAATTATAAGATTAGTAGACGAATATAAAATGTTACATAACGTGGTGTGAAATTTGATAAGATAGAATTCAATATTGTAAAAATAAAAAAATAACAATTTTGTATTTAGAATGACGAGGGGGACAAGTGGAAACAATTCAGAGTGAGAATAGTAAGGACAAGGCAGAAGTAGGAATTGTACATACTTCTTTTGTACACAAAGGTCTGGCTTAAAGTTATGAATTGTCAAGGCCTGTGCTGTCTTTAGAAGTCCGTAATGAAGAAAACGTGGTAAGTTAGCATGGATTCGGTATATGATCTTAAAATCATTGTCAGGGTTGGTGGAGTGACAGAAGT